CTTGGGCGATGAGAAACTCTCCCTATTTGGTAAATTCTCGACATTTCACAAATAACATAATCAAGAATCACATCCAGTTCAACATTGCTAAATTTAGAAATACATATACATCCATTTTCACATATGCCATTGCAAGGATAAATAAATAGGACGAAATCAAAATTCATTTTATTGCAGAAAAACTTGTCCTTACAATGCAATTCAAATGAAAAACTATGTTATTTCAATTTCTAAGCAATCTATTCTAACTCTAAAGTAGTAGCTCAAAAATCCGATCTTCAAGCAATGCGATCGAAATCCATTTCTTCACGATCAGATTCAGCTTACTTCTTCCCTTAATTTTCCTCTCTTTTCTTCGATCCTACAAAACATCAAAATGTAATCTTATCACATCATGTATTGAAAATCAAAGAATAGGAACTTATAGAGTTAGTTATTGGATTTTACCTGAAGTAGAGCCATACGTCTTGACTCTCCCATCTCTTAGATCTCTTAGTTAGTTTGGGCAGCTTCGTCTCCAATGCCCCTTCTCTTGGCATTAAAAGCAAATAGACTCCTTTGGTACATAGCAAGGGACAATCTCAGTCTTTTCTGGACTTCCAATGTAGCCAGTGTCCAATGAAGTATGGGAGTTTGATCGACCAATAAAGTTTGCTTGACCAGTGCGCCAAATCATCGCTGATTCAGCAGCAATAAGCAAATAGGTCAAATCATTGAGGGTTACATCATGGATCATCATATAGTACTCTCTAACGAACTCACTATATGATTTAGGAAGCGACTGAAGAACCCAGTCAACAGCCAACTCACCTGAAATCTCGACACCCAACATCCTTAACCTGTCAATGTGTGACTTTATCTCCAAGACGTGTGCACACACAGGTTTCCCATTTTCGTGTTTACTTGCCAATAGGGCTTGAGTGAGCTTGAACTTTTCAAGCCTTTGAACTTGTGGGTTAGGGAGAATAATTAGAGGAGGTGGAGGAAGTGAAGCATGACTCTCATTTCCTTGATCGTATCGTGGAAAGTCATCTTCATTTGGAAAGCTTGTTCCAAGGGACTTGGGAAGACCATTGTAAGATTTATACATCTACAAAACGGGAGAAAATTCAAGTTAGTTGATAAGAATCCTTGATGTAACACCCAAATGGAACATCAAGGCTAGGATCCAACACAATATTCTACAACCTAGAAGAGGGATGCCGTAATCTAGTTGCAGAATATTTGAAGGTAGGTAAATGATGATTTACCAATTCCCACCATGACAAACAAAAATGAAGTTTAAGTTTTAAATGAATTGAAACTCCTAGATCTTTTGAGATTCATCGAACTTTTCAATGGCATGTTTAATCTCGATTATGCCCTTCAAATTTGCGACTGGGATGCCGAGGATCACAAACAAGGTGTGAATAACCATACGAATCTACGTGATGCACTCAATGATACTATCACCTAATCAATGTGCCGGTTAACCACACACGCTCCATTGATCTATGATAAACATCGAGCCACCCTTCGCCACCAATGTCAATCCTAAATTAGTGTGTCGGTTAACCACACACGCTCCACTAACGTTTGACAAGGGTACGAAGTGTAATTTCATGTATTAGCATACAGTTTCACATTTTGCCTAAAGTAACTAGAATTTGGGAATTTGTAAAAGCATGTAGTTACTTTGTACTTCATTATACTTATAATGGAAGGTTTCGTCCTATCCTACCCGTTCGGCTAACGACGCTCCACTAGTAAAGAGTGCGGTGGGTAAGAGCTGATGGGTTTCGAGCAATACATCATTCCTATGGTGTACATGCAAACCGTAATAGCTTTTAGATCTAGTTTGTCTAATGAACATGCAATCGAATATCCAAAGCTATAAACCCTAGATCTATCATATAAGAACTGAAATAAGGGTTTAGTAATTACCTTTGATTGTTATATAGTAATAACAATCGATTCCTTGCTTTGATTGGCTTTAGAAAGCTTAGTGCCTCAAGTGTTGCACCTCTAATGGACTCACAAACACCACTAAGCAATTGGATGAAGGAGGGAAGAGATGGGAGGCACAAAAACGGCTGGAAACCCTAATCCAAGTGTTAGCCACGTTTTTGGTGCCCAAGGGTTCCTTATATACTTAGGCTATTAGGGTTATCCAACAAGGAAACCCTAATTTGACTGCTTAAGCCCTAAGCAGCCCATGGACCCCTTCTGGAACATGCCTTGGACGATTTTTAATGGGCTTCCCCTCAGAATTCGTCCAACCTATTATTCCAAGGTGATCCATAGCCCAATTGCAATTATCCTATAATTACAATTCTAGTCCCCTAAGTTTAATTAATCTCTTTTAGCCACAAAATTATTTCTTTATTAATTCTTAACTAATATTAATTAAACAATATGATTTCTCCTTTAATATATTATTCTCATAATATATTAATAAATCATAATTAAACCCTTCTCTCCTTAATTCATCCTACATATTGCTATGGTGAAGGCAACCCAAAAGGACCATTCTCATAATCGGGCCAAGTACATACCAAAATAGTTATGTACTTAGACACTAAGCCAACAGTCTCCCACTTGGATAAGTCTAATAACTATTTTGTATAACTTCAGAACCTGATCAGCAATCGTAGCTTTCAAAAGCCGCTGTCAACTCTGATCTTATCAGATACGCGTGTCTTTTATATAAGGGATTATATATTCCTCCATTCTCAAGATATCGTATAGACACAAGACATGATTGGCTTCAGAAAGCTTAGTGCCTCAAGGTGGCTCTTAGAAAAAAACAAGTTATCCATATTCTCCAAAAACTAAGATTTCCAAAAATCAAAAAATCTAACAAAACTTGCAAGGTGGCTCTGATACCAATTGTTGGGTTTTACTTCAAAAATAGTTTCATAAACTAGAAAAATATGGCAAACGGAAGACTTATGATTTTCGAAATAACATAAACATGTTATACCCACCATGGATCTTCTTGCAAGTTATAGAAACATTTAAACACCAACCAAAGAAAAGATGAAGAAATAACAACCTTTGTTGATCTTTGGTTCCTCTTGGGAGGCTTGGAAGTTGATGAAGAATGTGAAACCTTTGAGACACCAACATGAAGCCAACTTGATGTAGATGCTAGTCCATAAACTCTTACACTCTTCAGCTTGAAGTTAATAACCAAAGTATGAACTTCAAGATAGTATAAATGCAAGTAATCTTCAACTGTTCTTAAAAAAACAAGAGAGAATGAGGGAGAACTTAGGAATTTCGAAATTTGCTTGTAAAATGGGACACACAACATGAAAGCCTCTAATCTAGTTAAACTGAAGACTTAATCTAAAGGTCCTTAACCATTAATTGCTTTAGACAAGCTTGTCCCCCCATGCTTTCTCCCATACCGATTACTTTTAAATAAATTAACATAAAAACTATACTCTTGTCTTTTGACTCTTATTTTATTGAAATAATAAAAGGTAGAAGACAAAACCTTTATATTTTATAAAGCAATTTATAAAATATAAACTTTAACTTTTCGGTAAAAGACAAAGGAATTTATCAAGTCCAAAATGTTCTGCATGACCTATTAATTCATACCATATAATTTATATATAATGTTACTTGCTAATGAAAATTATTATTTCCTAGAAATAAATAATTTCCAATTTAATTATAAGAGTTTATTGAATATTTATTAAAATAAATTTCTAATAAATAATCAATTATATCAAGTTGTTGTTAGTGTGACTCATTAGTATCATATGTTAATTAGCAATATCACTTTAATATGATTCTTGAGCATACTAGATATTTCATATTCTTCATTATCACTTCCCTTTAGCACAATGAAATTGCGATTTACAAATTCATCATTTACAGTGTCGGATTCGCATTCGCAAACAACTGATATCTTCTCCAAACTCTAAACCTCGTATTGAGGTCTTAATTGTGATGAATAAAAATCAAAAGCTTTCTATTAATTGGACCATTGTTAAAAGAAACAACTAATGTGTTCTGAAAGCTTTTCAATAGAAAAACTATAACCATCATTAGGAAGTCCAACTGGAAATCCACCTTGTTGTCCATAAAGAAAGAAGATATGGGATTAAGCCAATAAATCTGAACATTTTTTATAACTTCTTCCATTCTATTCTCAACAATCCATTTAGGCTATAGTGCATTGTGTTTTAACTCCATAACTTCTTTCTAACCCTACTCTAACTCTTTTTTATTCAGTTCAATCTATAAGTGTTTCCATCTTTCAATATGTTCGTTATTCATCCTTTTTGCCTCTTCATCATTAGGATCAACTTTTGGAGGATTAAATGTTACAAAAGTAGAACTTGACCCTATAGGATTTGATGAAACAACACCTTCTAATATCTTTTTCAATTTTTGATATCTGAAGGTAGTCTTGTTAGCAGCAACATGTTTCTTACCCATATTTAGAACAAATTATGGATTTACATTACAAACCCTTTCTCCCCTTGATGTGAAGTAGTACAACTACTCACAAAAACCGAACTAGGCAATTGTGAAAGCAGAGGCTGAAGCTTCTGATCAAGCATTTGCGATGTGTATTCAACATGTAGGGCATCTTTCTTCTCAACAATCCTCACCAATCAATAAGCAATCACAAAACATCGTTGAATAATGAAAAAGTTGCGACCTTGCATAAGCAATAATTCATCATCCTTTTTTTGCAGATCATATTTCAGGTAACATACTTCTTGCTTTAGAGAATTGATCTTCACTTCTTTTCTTTGGATATCATCAAATAAATAAGCTTAAGTATTGTAATGATGAACCAATGTATTAATAGAAGAAGTAAGACTGACCTTGTGCATAAAATTTTCATTCAAAATCAACGTCTTCAAATCTTTTACTTCTTGAAGAGTTGTCTCTATCTTCATAACACTTTCTTTCACAACCTTTTATTTATCTTCAACCAAACGTTTACTCTGCGAAAGCAAAGTTTTCACTGTTTCTTCATGAGCCAACATAATATTCTAAACGTTGTTTTTGGAAAAAGCTTCTACATGGCGAACAGACATATTAAGCTTACATTTCAAAGCTCTATAGTCATTCCTTGTAACTGGTTGATTCACATTCTCCTGATCTGATTCACTCGCATCATCGAGAAGTGAAGGTGCCGATTCAGGTTTCATAATTTCAACGTAAACATCATTATTCTCATCATTTCCCATAACATCATTATTTTCATCCGTAAAATTCTCTGCACCACCCAACGACTATCAACATTCTGAAGAATAGATTTAGAAACATCTGGAGTTGGAGTATGAATTTCTATGCTAGTGGTTAAGAGTTCTGATGTTGGAACAATGGTTGTAGTTGTAGGAGTTGGAATTTTAATTATTGTAGTTGCGGTTGTGTTTGGTGGGATTATGGATTATATAATTATTGGAGTAGCTTGGGGTAAAGAAACAATTATAGGTTGAGTGGCAATCGGTTGGGTTTGAATTGGTTGAGTATTTGGGATTTGTGGAATTGTTGGAATATATGGAAGTGGTTTTGTCGAAGTTAGTGGAGTTCGAATAGGTTCAACAATTAGGTATTGTGATTGTGAAAGTTTTATGATGGGTTGTTTCAAAAGATTCAGGAAAAACTTCGTCTTAGTGGGAGTTGGTATCGAAGTTGTAGTAGGAGTAGGAATTGTTGATACCGAAGGCTGCGAAGTATTGATATTTGTAGTTGGAGTAAGAATCTGAATAGTCTGTTGAGGTGCAGTAGTCTTGAGAATGTTCTCCGAAGAACTTGCAGTATCATGACAACAAATTTCCGTATGAACATCACTGACTGTAGCCTTATCATATGCTATAATAACACGATCATCCTCATTAATAATAGCAAGCTTCACTTTCTACTTGAGCTTTTTTGGCTTCTTTGGCTTCACAACCACAACATCCTCAACCACCTTAGCTTTCTTTTCACACCACTACTAGTTCTTTTTGTTGTGACACAGAAATGAAGAATAGTTTCTAGCTCTGTAGGTACACGCCTCTTGTTAAAATTTGGGATCTTCATGTAAATCGAAAACACATCATTAGGTGTTGGCACCTTCACAATTATTGCATCATGAATGTTACCAATACATGTCAAATTGGTATCTGGAAGAAAAAAATGAGATTTGAAACATTTAATCTTGGAAACTATGCATGCGAATGTCTTTTATGTGAGGGACACAATAATGGTCTCTCATATTTTTGACGATAATTGACCAAAATCTGGCACAAGAAATATCAGAATCTTTCATAGAAGAGGATGGACTTTGGTAGAACTATTCCCACAACACTTAACCTAAATACATCGTCTTGTCGGTGTATATTCCTTACATCAAAGTTTGAAAAAAATTTCTCGCATTTTCTGAGCCATATGTCCTCTCCGAAAAACACTTAAAGAAGACCGTGTGCATGGCGTTCCAAACCATTGGCAAGAACGATTTCTTGAACTTGGACAAATGAAGTAGAAATGGAGAATAGCCCATTTGGTGCAAACCATTCATTATATTTTCAGAAGAGACATTATATGCATTTGAAATACCCTCACCAGCAGGTAATCCCAACATTTTGTAGAAATTTTCTTTTGAAATCTGTGACAACTAGGAAAACTTCGTCACTAACCACCATTAGAAATTATCTTAGATAAATAAATGTAGTAGAGTATCAATGTGATATTTCATTTTTATAATAATATGAATAAGGATGCCCTTACATTTAAGGATAAATCAACTAATAGTCTAAAAAATGAGTATCCAAAAAGCTCAGTCGTTTTCGAAGTTGGCTAACATATTCAAAAAGTACATGCCGATATGATTCCAAAGATAAATGCTTTGTAAAAATCTAACTTCGATTGGGGGAGTTATGATTTTTGAAATAAGTAAAATCAACCACGTAATTAAAGTTATTGATGCCGAAATAGGATTAGAAAATCGGTCGAGTTTTGGCTATTGTTACCAAAAGGAATGTCATAGTATTTCTCGAAGTGAGAGCAATAAGACAAATAATTCCAAAAACGGAGTCCATATGAAGAAGATATGATATCTATAAAATCATTAAAATCATATCCCGTTAAGCCAAAAGGTGAAAGTCCAAAACTAGCCAAAACAATCTAAAGGAGGGTTAATATTGGAGCTCATACGCAAGATATATTATATTTACAAAATCATTTCTACACACGCAAGGTACACTCCTTACTCGGAACACATTCATACCCCGAATTCACGAAGATTATAGGTGACGTGGCCCAGTGAGAGAGTGACACATGGGGACTCCTGGATGGAGCCACGAAGCTCACGCAGGACACATACATATATTTGCACCGTACACACCTCAAAACTTTTCTATAAATAGAGGTGTCCACATAGCCAATCTGCACACCCATCTTAAGGATCATTCTCTCTCTCTCTCTCTCTCTCTCTCTCTATGTTCGAAGTGAAACCATCGCGAGGCAATATTCAAAGTCCTGAGCCCCAAATCTACCCTACATCAATGTATAACGCTTCTAGGGTGAGTTTCACAACCCTAGTTTTTCAAATGTTTTATGGGGGGGGGATACATTCTATTAAACTATTTCAATGATTTTACAAAAGATTATTACTTGAAATATATCAATCGTTTTGAAACTGTATCAAAACGTTAGGATAATATTATGCCCGGTAGGTACCCTACCTAAGCTGTAAGAATGATATTATACCTAGTCATTATAGTGCCTAAGATTATACTACCTAGTTGTTATGTTGTCCTATTTCCTATACTACCCTAGTTTATAGACGTTATGTTGGCTAAAATCTTAGGATAAGCACTGTACTTAGTTGTTACTCCACCCTTATATCCTAAAAATGTCAAAAACCTAATAATTATGGATATGGTATAACATATATATATATATATATATATATATATATATATATATATATATATATATATATATATATATATATATATATATATTGTAGTGTCCTATCGATGATGACGAATGCGGAATATGAAATGATTTAGTGAATCATGCCAGAGTCATGAACATGAAGAACACAAGGATGTAAATAATCTCGGTTTAAGCTCTCATTAGTCTTGAAAGTATTACGATGTGGGTCATGCAATATTTCTCTCACTAGACTAATCTTTCATAAGTTCTTACATAAAATGAGTGTCACTCACTTCTTATTTATAGGAAAAACAACTCATTACACACAAACAAAAGGGTAAGCTACTAGAAGAATCCAAGCATGACTTTGCACCCTAACATTCTCCCCCTCAAAGTTAGGATTGGATGTCCCGGCTTCAGTTTCCAAATGAGCTCGCACGATCAAGACCAACTCCCCCTCGAAGTAATACTGGTCTTCAAATCCGCAAATGACTACCCGAGAAGCTTCGAATACTATTTCTTCATTCTCACCCTTTTTATAATCAACAAGTTATTATAAAGCCCACAAAGGCTGAGAAGCGCCCGAGGAATAAACTTCACAAATCTCCCCCTCGATGTGTGCCAAAAAAGAAACCTCGAAAAACTTGCATGAAAAACAATCACGAAAAAGTCATGAAAATTTTCCAATTTTTGTGAAAATTTTCGACTTTTGGGTGAGAGTTGCAAGAATTTTGAAAATCCAGGTAAAAATTGCCAATATCATAATTCTACAGGGACCCGTTGCAAAAATCCTTCGCAAAACTCTTCGAACTCGAAAATATCCTAAAATATCGAAATTGGGATCAAGAACTTGTTCCATACCAAAACAGAGCACACACATCATACATAACACACACATACACATCATAGGCACATACATACATGTATAACGTATCTTATTAATTGGAAACACAAAATTTATAAATAAAAGAGAAATTAAAAGAAAAAAAATCCAAGGGAAGAGACCTACATGTTAACTCTTGGTCTTCAAGTAATTTTAACTCCAAATAATTTTCTTCACTTTTCGCTAGTTCCATGGGTGGTATATGTAATCTGAAACTGTAGAATATTACTTTCCTTTAAGACTGATACAAAAGAAAATAAAAATGAAAATCCCTAAACTCCAAATTTTGATAGAGGCAATGAATAACATTCAGGGGGATGATTCAGTGCAAGGTTTTAGATTTGTAGGTGTGCTGCGATCGATATCAACAATCATATGATCAAAAATTAAGGCATCAAAAAAGAAACAAAAATTGGTAAGAAATGAACCAGTTAGAACTCTGAACCTGTGAGAGCTTTAAAACACATATTATGAATAACACTTGTTAAAACTCAAATATGAAACAATTACGAAATAGGAAAATTGAACCTTAAGAGTAGAAAAGAATAGGTGTCAAGGATGTTATTTTCTTTAGAAGTCAAGGTGTATACATTGGATCCTATAATCAAAGAAATAAAAAGACGGTTAATGACTTGATATGCTCAAGGCCCTCAAATCTGTTTGGTTTTTGAGCTTCTCTCACTCCAATATTTTGTTGCCTGACACTACTATTACTATTATTACGAGCTCTTCATCAGTCAGCCTAGACATTGTTTCCTACAATCACAATGAGTCAAAGTTCATGGGTTCCATATTATAATCTAGTGCATGAAGACAACAAAATGATTCATACTCCCAAATAAAGGAAGGAAAGTAGTAAAAGCATCCTACCTAAAATTTAAAATCATAAAAGCGGAATGCTTGTCTGAAACAAAATCAAAGAATCAAGGTAATTGGTAGTCTGGTTGTCTTGACAATCCAGTGCAGACAATACTTCTTTTTTTCCATGTAGGCTAGCTGCCTTTGGCAATATTTCATTCACACCGACTCCTTTAAGCGACCTGCCAATACAATAATTCTATATTATCAAAATCGAGGATAAAAAAGGGCAAATCAAAGGGTATGTCGTTTAGCTTTTTTAGATTTTCATTCAAGGGCCTAGCTTTGATAAGGGTTGACAGTGAGAGGAAATATAAATCAAACACAAAATATCATTACAACACCAAAAAAAAATGTTTACATAAAACATAAACGTACCAAATGTGAAGAAATTCGAAGCTTCTAAGGAACACTTGACCTCATGACATCTTTTACAACTTCATTGTCATGTTTCTGTAACAAAATATTGGCAGCTTGTCCTTTACAGAGAGCGATGATGGTGGTGGGGTTTTTATGTCAGTGGTGTCGTTCTACTGGTGGTGACATTATTAGTTGTTTCGAGGAGTGTGCATAGATAGAGAGCAACAATGGTGGTGGGTTGTTTCTTTCATGGTGGTTAAAGGCAGTGGGGGTTCTGAGATGGTCGTTAATTGGTGATGGTGGTCGATGGCGATTCTTTTCCACCGGATCGTGATTGTGATTGTCAATGGCGGAGCGGATGATTGCTTGCGATGGTCTTCGATGAAGGAGTTTAGAGATTGTGGTGGCTAGGGTTTCTCATTGCACCGATGGTTGAGGAGGAGGGGTGGTATTGGTGAACTTGAGAATATGTATGATTCACTCAATTTGATCCATGGTGGTGAGACGTAACATATAAAGGAAAGAGGTGATATTGCCGATATAGGTGCCAACAGTTAACTTGATAAAGCAGATGGGTGAAATTCTGGGGATTTATAGGGGGCTAAGTCAAACAGTGGAAATAGATAACTCTGAGAAAATATAGGGGACTTAGTCAAAAGTCCAAGATAACCTAATAAACCATCCGATTCTTTTTGTTAACTTTTTCAATGGTTGACGGGATGATAGTTTTCAGGAATGCATAAAGTTCTTGTATATGATGTTTCAAAGGTTGTACCTCTTAAAATTCCGCATTTAAGTCTAAATGCTTATTAAGGTATAAAGATATATATATATATATATATATATATATATATATATATATTAATTTGCCATACATATATACCCTAATTATTGTTGATTTGAAAACAGGATATCCCTATAGTTGACCAACATTACTTCTAGTTACTATGTTATCCTAGGAAATTGGTCATTATAACATCTAGGTAATATCTCTTCCTAGACCATCGGACATCATAACTCTTAGGCATAATATCAAAACTTACAACTACGTAGAGTAGTTATGGTTACCTTATCCTAAAGTTTCATGCTTTATATGACTTATATATATATATATATATATATATATATATATATATATATATATATATATATATATATATATATATATATATATATATATATATATATATATGTGTGTGTGTGTGTGTGTGTGTGTGTGTGGGTGTGCGTGTGTGTGTGTGTGTGTTTTGATAAAGCATTTTGATAAGCATGTATCCCCCCCTCGGTAAAACATTTAAAATTGTAAAGTGGGGCCGTAAACGCACCCTGGACCCGTGCGGACGATGATGTAGGGTGGAATCGGGCTCTGGGCTCTCGCGATCGCCTAGGGTAGCAACCACTTCGAGTACTTGAGAGAGAGGTACAGAGAATGTTATGCAGAAATGGTTATGCGCTGCATTCTATTTATAGGCATGGATTTGGGGTATGCGCGTCGCAAAGATACATGCGCACCAGGCATGATCATTGTGGCTCCATCCATAGGTTTCCTCGTGTTATCTCTCCCACTTGGTCACGTCTGTCGCAATCTACTCGAATTTCGT